AGAGAGAGAGAGAGAGAGAGAGAGAGAGAGAGAGAGAGAGAGAGAGAGAGAGAGAGAGAGAGAGAGAGTGCTTTGTCCAGGGGAAGATGTGAGCCTCAGGAACGGACAGGAAGGAAGGATCCATGCAAATGATCGTGACCTTGCGGCCTGAGGGATGGAGAGTCGTTGGAGACAATATTATGGTAGGTTTGTGTTTAACTTATGCTTCTCTGTACTTGTGCGTAAGGGTGTGTGCTCACACGAGGATTTTTTCGACTTATCTGCTTGTCTATGCTCTTGCCTGAGGGCATATTCACAGAAGCACTTTCTCAACTTCTTTGTGGACGTAATTGCGGTACATTGCATCCAGCCTGATCCAGGCATGGCCGTTAATGAGTCCAGATACATCCATGAAAGTCCTCGTGTGACGGTGTGACCGCGTGAGTGTGACCTCAGGTTCTCACATGGGGTTTACTGCTCACTCACCTGGCGGCCTGGTCCTGGCCCTCGAGATCTCAGATCCTAGTCCGAAGCGATATTCGTTTCTGGCCCTTGAGATCTTCTCAATCTACAGTCTCAAAGGTTTGAATTCCCCGGGTTTTATGTGAGGTTTGCAAAGACACATTGAACCTCGTTTTGAAATATGTCATTTACCTTTTTAAAATATGCGATAAACGAGTTTGTCACAGCCCCTCGCTTGTTGTCCTCCTCTCTCTCTCTGTCTACGGTTGACCTGGGAGTTCTGTTTCACAATATATATACTGTTTGACGATATATACCTATCTATCTATCTATCGTCGGGGTTCTAACTTCTAAGCGTCCTCGTAATATATATACTATTTGAGTCTATTTCGCATATATATACTATTTGAGTCTATTTCACGAAAAAAGACATGAGAATCTTAGAGAGTGGGACTTCCATTGGGGGGGGAGGTCCTCCTCTTGCCTTGCCTAGGTTCCTCGTTTTGGGCTGTTTGTCCTCGTAATCTACAGTTTGAAACAGGGGTGAGCTTCCGCTGTCCTCAATTCTTCATTAAATTTTCTGACAGTATCGGATTCTTCACTATCTGTTGAGTATCTATTGACTAGCCATTGGCATCCATTGACTATCGATATGCATTGACTATCTATATCCATTGACTATCTGTATCCATTGACTGTCCATCTCTTTTTGGTGCGTAGAGAGAGTGAGAGAGAGGGAAAGAGAAATAGATGTTACAGTAGTGCGCTGAGAGAGAGAGAGAGAGAGAGAGAGAGAGAGAGAGAGAGAGAGAGAGAGAGAGAGAGAGAGAGAGAGAGAGAGAGAGAGAGGAGAGAGAGCATGCTGCCATGTGGCAGTGTGACATATCGCAAGAGAGAGTCCTCTCTCTCTCTCTCTGTGTCTCTGTGCGGCTCAGTGTGGGGAGATCCCACTCCTGGACAATTTTTATTTTATTTTATAATAAAAAGAAACATAAAAAAGAAGTGCAGGAGGGGATACCCAACTACCCTCTCCACATCCCTGATAGGTTAGAATGCCTGATCCCCCCCCGCCCCTCCCAGAAACCCCCCAAGCCCCTCCGAGAAGTTGGCGGAAGCAGCTTTACGGCGCAGAGCTGGAGTAGAATGCACGTCCTACCGTTGAACGCGGAATTCTCTCTTACCTCCAGCGAAGCTCTCTGGGCTAATGTGAAAAAAAAAAAAAAAAGGATGTGGCAAATGGGAGTTTGATCGGCACTGAGTGAGGAATGAGGGTGGTTTGAGATTATTGTCTTTGAAGGAAATGGATATCCCCTGGGGTCTGGTCCCACCTACAGCGTTGAGTTTTCTCAACGCTGAGCTTTCTATCACGTGTGGCATGGTGGGACAGAGCTCTGCCGTTGATGTACTGCGATCTAATGGTACAGAAATACAGGAGAATAACCTATTAGATTTGGTCATTTTTATTGTCATTATAGTATTACGGGCACCCCGTAGCAGCCACATCCGTGCTCAAGCCTCTAACGAGGGAACATGCGGGAGCTGCACCCACCAGCAGGTGCGACACCCCGTGGCAGCCACATCCGTGCTCAAGCCTCTAACGAGGGAACATGCGGGAGCTGCACCCACCAGCAGGTGCGATACCTGCTACTGTAGGTGGGCGATACCGGCCAGGGGTCAGCCAGTAGCATCAGGACCGAGCTTCTTCGATGGGCCAGTCACTGTGCCTCCCCTCCGGTCCCCTCCCCCTATGAACATCCGAGTCGGCAGTCTCTGCTCAATGCCACTCGGGGGGACCAACGGCATATCTCTAAGTAGCGGGCGCCAAGCTTGCCCAGGAATGTGCATGAGGCCAATGGGGATTGAACCCATGACCTCCTGAATGCCACTTGCGTGCCTTACCAACTGAGCGAGGCCGCTGGATGGAATCCGTTTTGTAGTCTGCTTTGGCCCTTTTGGTTTGGGTGGGAAACCATTTTCCATTGAGAAAACTACCCTACTGAGGGGAGGGTACATTTCTCAACTGCAGTGCCTTTCTATTGTTTTGTTTTTTTTAGACATCATTTCATCCTGAGACGGAGGAACTCTGACAGCTGTGTTTGGCTGTCTGGCATCAATTTGAAACTCGTTTCTTTCTTTGGGCAATGAATGCATTTGGCCATCCACGTTGTCCCTGTCCATTTTACAAATGGTGACCTCCTGTCCTCTCACCACGGGGAGTATCCCTTTTTCACGGAGACATTCACTCCGACTGTTCCAGACAGACATGTTTCATTTCTCCGAGTTATGTTATAAAAAATAAGGAGAAAAGCTGTTTGTAGCGTTTTTTTTTCAGTTTTTTAATTTCTTTTTTTTCGAATTTATTAATGTCGAAATGGCATCACACTGTAAGTTTTCTAAACTCAACAACGGTAGGTGGGACCAGACCCCTGGGGCCAGGACCCACTAGCGAAGTATTCTACGACGTGTGACGCAGTTGTATGGTGTTTTGGAAGAGACAGTTATTTTTTCTTGCATGAATGGATCGTTTTCTGATTCAAAATGAATTGAAATGGCACATAAAACAAAGAAGAACAGCTGTGCACCCAAATTCATGGGTTGGTACGATCTCCTTCACACAAGTTTTCATAGTGATGTACCGTGGCAATCAAATGTGTCCACGAACACAGCCACGAGGATGAACAAGTAATGGGTATGGGGATACATTCATCACCATGTATCTCCTGATGCCTCTAACAGGCCATCCGACAGACGCGGAAGCGTTCCTGTCAGATCCACCACAATATTTGAATTTCACATTTCAAGTTCTATTTCTCAGAGCAAAAAAAAAAAAAAAAAGGAAGTCTGGAAATCAACCCCCCCCCCTTTTGAGCACATAAAATCCAGACTTCCCGCCCACGCAAAGCCACGAGCTATCATGTCCAATTTTTTTTTTCTTTGTTTTTTGAAACATCTCATTGGATGGGAGGTGGGCATCTTTACAGTCCTCGCTTGGAAACTACCAGGCTGCGAGATCCGATGTATTCGACGGCCGTACTGAGTCACTCGAGGCCACACGTGATTGAAATTCTGAACGGCGTGGTAGAGTACCTTGCTAGTCGGGAAAAAGAAAAGAAAAGAAAAGTGCTTTTAAAGTCGTGAAAATTTTAAAAGGCATGTATGTTCCAGAAGCAGCTGGTATTACAATGATACAATAGAAATTCATCGCCGTCATCAAGGAACAACTTGAAGGGGGAATGCCCGGAATGTGTTTTATTTTCCCTTGTTTTCCCTGCTGTTTTTGTGCCAGTATGTGAATTGCAGGGACCGATGCAAACTCTGTTTTGCGCAATTAGTCATGATGTTAAAAAAAAAAAAAAAAAATGTCCCACATTTCTTTTTGCTGTTTTGCGCAATTATGCATGTTAAAAAATAAATAAAAAAATGTCCTACATTTCTTTTTGAAGGACCTGGGGCCAAGTCCCACTTAGTACCCGAATGATGGCTGAATCATTGGTTTCTGACCGCAGATTTGGAAGATCAACGACCAGAAATCAAGGATCAGCATGAGTGGGACTTGGCCCATGGTGAAAAAAAAACGGAACGAAACTCATGATGCTCTTTTGGTTACAGTATGGTAGCAAACAGAACACACTGTCAGGGGAATCCTTGGGCCCTGGGGGGGGGGAAGGGGTATAAGAATGGGAGTGAATCCTTATGGAATGAACGGGAGGAACACAATAAAGATAGGGGCTACCTGACTTTTTTTGTGTTTTTTGGTTTGAACTAGAACAACAAAATGCACAAAAAGACTCTTTACTCAAACCAATAGGCTGAGCGAATGGTGATTTTGTGATGTATGTTCACAGGGTGGCTCAACGGAAGGAGACAGCAGCCAGAAGGCCTCTGGAACCAATTCCCAGGGAAACAACTGGACCCATCTGGGACCATCAGTCTATGACAACGGCGGGAATTATCGGTATGACAACAAGGATGACAGCTACTACTACCAGAACAAGGATGGGTCTACCTACTACAACGATAAGCAGGGTTACGCCAAGTACACGCCCCCTTCTGAAAATCCCAGGAATTTCGATGAAGAAGAAGAAGAAAATCCCAGGAATGTAGAAGAGGAAGAAGGAGAAGAAGAAGAGGGAGAGGAGGGAGAGGAGGGAGAAGAGGGAGAGGAGGGAGAAGAAGAAGAGGAGGAAGAGCAGGAGGAGGAGGAAGATGAAGATGAAGAGGAAGAGGAAGAAGAAGAGGAGGGAGAAGAAGAACAGGAGGAAGAGCAGGAGGAGGAGGAAGAAGATGAAGCGGACGAGGAAGAGGAAGAATTTGTAGATGAAGGCTACGAAGAAGAATAGATGGAAGAACAAGAGGAGATGACTGACCCGCAGTTTTTTTTGGGGAGGGACACGGACACACACACACACACACACACACATGGAGAGAGAGAGAGAGAGAGAGAGAGAGAGAGAGAGAGAGAGAGAGAGAGAGAGAGAGAGAGAGAGAGAGAGAGATTTATGAGGGCTGCCTCGGGGTTCTCGAGAGGACGTTCTCATCCTATGGAGTAGTAGGAGAAGGGGTCACTCGGACTCACTCCTGAATAATGCGATGGATGTATCTGACAGCAAGTTTAAGTGTTACGTCAGTCCAAAATGGCCAATCCAAGTGGGATTATGATCCCAGTACTATCGCATATACTGTGGAGGGTGTCCAGTAGGCGACCCGTTTGTTGTAAAAAAAAATTCCCTTTTGCAAGAGGACTTCCAGGGTGACCCACCTTTTTGCAAGATGAGGCGTTCTGGTACAAGTTGCTACGTGACCAGGTTTGAGAGATGAGGGGTGCTCTCAGCTCTGGGCTGCCTACTGCTGCCCCACGTTCGCGGGGGTCTCTGACAACTGCAACAACCCTTAGGGTAATAAGGCTTCGTCGGGAATCCTGTGGGTGGCCGTGGGCTGACAACTGCAACAACCCTTAGGGTAATAAGGCTTCGTCGGGAATCCTGTGGGTGGCCGTGGGCCATGGTAGGGTTGTCGGTCGGGTTACAGTGTTACACACTACTGGCCCATCTTTGCGCGAATCGCCATGGTCACCCTGCCTTGGGTTGCATTGCAGTTGCCTCTCCTGTGTTCTCTCTACCATGCCTCTCTAGATTCCTGCATTAACCCTCCTCAGGGCAACAAACCTTGTTGGGATTGTCGTGGTCCATGTTACTAGCCTAAGGATCATTGTCCGTTCGATGGTACATCGCCCCCCGACCTTTGTCCGGATTAGTGTTGTCAGCTTGTCACTGTACTCTGGGTTGCGCTGTTGTAGTGGTTATGGGACTTCAAGTTGGCTCCTGTGGCGGACGCTGCAGGTTGGATTCTGTGCCTGCAGTGCCCTGCACGGGCCCGCACAGATGGATCCGAGGTCAGGAAGTACGAACCCAAAACCAAAAACTTTTCCCTATCATGTTGGTATGGGTGTGCAATGCCGTCATTGCTGTCTCGTCTCCACGACGAGCATTAACTCTTTACGGAAAGGAGTCTTTGTCGGGATAAGGACGCATCAAGGAGACATGGTAAACATCATGTACGTGAGTCTGTCAAAAGTAATTAGGTAGTTTCACCCGAAAGCTGACCGGATTAGCGGCAGTATCAGAACCGACGACCTGAAGGATGCGGTATTGACCGAAGAAGCCAAGGCTGAACTTGCGAAGAGTATCTGCTTCGAGCGGCAAGTGGCGTGCGGCGACGAGGACATCGTCACCGACTTTGAATGAATGATCCTCTCGTGATCGGTTCGCTCGTGCGGACACGCGAGTTTAGGAGTTGACTAGACTCTCGTGTGCGCACTTCATAATCGTCACCATGTGGGCGATCCAGTCGTCAAGTGCTGGACAACAAGTGTCTCGGCATATCTGCGCATAGGAAGTCCACGGGTACGGGAGGGTGTCGCAATAGAATGACGACATCCGCGTGACTGGTGAAACGGTGTGGTTGTACGCGATCTCCGCGTGGGCTAAGTGTAAGTTTGACTGCTGGTCACCCCTTATAAACTTATGAAGGATATTACGGAGAGTTTTATTGGTGACCTCAGTCTGACCATCCGTCTGAGGGTGGTAAGACGATTAGAAGCGGAGATGGTATCCGTCTGATCATCCGTCTGAGGGTGGTCCGACCATCCGTCCGAGGCAGCACTCACCCTACTCAAGGCAAACCGGTACCGACGATGGAACGGCGGGAGCACGAACGAGCTCGTCCGTCTCCAGCAACGGTAAAGGCCGGTACCCAGTCCCGTGCTCTGCCTAAAACAGGTGGTACAGGCTCCCTGCTCGATAGCTGGGAACGGACCGGTACTGACGCAACACAAGTGCCTATTGCAAACTACCGCTCTGACTCCACTGCCGCCCTGAGTTACAACCGCCTTTTTGAACTCAGGCCATGACAAAGTTGCTGCTGCATGTTTTTTTGGCCAATTACCAACTCTGACGTGACACGAATGTACTTTGTCGCACGGCTCGTTTTTTTTTTTTTCCCCCTCAACAATAGTTCCCAGTAGTCGTACTAGTTCAAGCTACTGGTGGGTTAGATGCCAATTCGAAAAATCGGCCAACTGGTCCTCCCATTTCCTTCACGGCGGGAGGACTGGTAGGCCGATTTCTCGAATTGGTATCTAACCCACCGGTAGCTTGAACTAGTACGACTGTTGGGAACTATTGTTGAAAAAAAAAAAAGAAAACGCACAGCAGGAGTAGTGGTGGGTTAAGATTGACCTCATCTCAGATGGCATTTTGGATTGCGCTCACTGGGACAAGAACAGGTCAGGCATATGCTATGCCTACTTATAAAGGGTCTGATCGCACTTCTTATAGGCGAGGCACTTTTTGGTAAATTTTGGGATCCCATCTTTCTCCGCAAGAACCGGAGGTGGCCCTGTTTTCGCAAAGAAGTGGAAACAGCCTGGTGCATGGCAGTGCAAGTGAGATTTGAGGCCCCGTAGTTCTTCAAAAATCAAAAGACGCCAGCCCCGTATCCTGCACCGTGAAAGAAGATGCCCTTGTTTTTTTCTTCCCTTTTCTTTTCCTGATGCGCAGGCCAGTGGATCCTCGAGGCGCCACAAGATAGCACAGCTCCCTTAGGAAAAGTCCCGCAGAAGTAGGGCATGTGCGGTCACGTTTTTCTTTCACGTTCCGTGAGCTGCGCCTCCACCTTTTGCAGCACTTTTACATTCTTTCAGAAACCCAAAGACCCACTGCAGGGAGATTATGACCAATCTGCCCATCTTATCCTGACCCCAAAGAACAGACAGGAGTGGCATAGCCAAGGGATCAAATGCTTTCGAATCACCTTTCTGTGTAACATTTGTCTTCCACGAGACCGGCTTGCTAACTTGAGGCCAGTCTCTCGTCTTTAGGGAACGTTATATTGCGACCAAAAACAAGAGGCTGGGACAACTTATCTTCCGCCGGGGCATGGAGGGCATTGGAGGCTACTTGGTCCTTTGCCATAAAGGACATGTTTGGCCTGCCATCGCCCCAAGATATTTTTGCCACCGTTGATTGGCTCCTCTATTTCCTCCTACTAGTATGAAAGAACCATACCAGGTCCTTGGTATATACGAATACGTGGGGGAAGGGGGCGGAGGTTGGACTTCTCAGACATTCGACGTATGTTCGTAAACATTCCCGTTACAAAGGTCGCTTTGTAAACATTCCCATTACGTAGCTGTCTTCAAGTTACCAGTGGCCACGAAGATGCACACATGCACTATAATTGCTTTGGATGTGCGCATGCACTATTGCTTTGGGTGTGCTGTTGCCCCACTGAGAGTTTTGGTGGGGAAAAGCAGAAGACCCCCCCTCTCGCATGCATAATGTGTGCAATGCCATGTGCTGAAGTTCTGTTCCACAACAGCTGGAAAGTAGATTTATGCAGTGCCCGGGGGCGATCCTTACATGGTGATGGTGGGACAGAATCTGGAGCCTACTGGAGACTAAATCACCCTGGCCATGGGATTGGAGAGCGATACTATGTGAGACATGGTCCTCCCCCTCGAGCAGCACTTTCGAAAACAAGATGTTTAAGATTGGGAGGAGGGCAGTCGTGTGGGCTACTTGGAGAAGACGGTGCATACATGCTTGCGAGGGAGTCCGCATAGCCGGGGAGGAAATGACGGACATGATTAAACAATACATTCATCAAGAAATTATGGCACAATGGCAGAAAGTTAAAAATCAGCTAGATCTGTTCCACACATGTAAAGATATAAAACAAGCGATTCAACAATTCTCTGGGGCTGGTTGGGAGGTGAGAGAGGAGGCCAAATGGCCTTCATAAAGTGGGAAGGAGGTTGCACCCAAGGAAACAAGGAGGACAACCAAGATGGCAACATTCGGCCTTCATAAAGTGGGAAGGAGGTTGCACCCAAGGAAACAAGGAGGACAACCAAGATGGCAACCGGGAGGCGATCAAGAGGGATTATCTGATTTGCTTTAGAGATTGGACAACAGTGGGCCAAGAGATCCCACTACGGCCACCCTCGGACTTTCCCGACCCTTTTCCGCCCCATCGGTTGGCTTGGACATGCAATGGTATGGAGGGGAGTAACTGGTAGACAAGTTGGGCTGCTGGGACAATTGCAGACAGGACTCCCCGGACGTGGGTCCTGAAGAGATGACTTAGGACCTTTAATATAAAGGGGGGGAGCCAGATTGTAATAGTAAAGATCTGGCGGCCGGTGTGGGGTGTAGAGGCTCCCTCCCTGCCTGAAAAACCTGCAACAGATGGAAAAGGTCCCGGATGCTGGACCTGGTTTCCGGTACTTCGGCGTCATTCCCTTTAATATCTGGTTAGACAAGAGTTGGGTAAGGGACGCTGGACTCGGTTTCGAGCACAAAAGGGTGAAGATTTCCTTTTCTCAGTTCTACTCAGTTCTACTCAGCTTTTTCCAAGAGGGAGGGAGGAACTAGTTCTGTAACATCAGGTATCTGGCGCCCAGTACTGGGGTGAAGAGGTTTTCTCCCCTCCCTTAGTAACCTGCACAGTCAATCCTCTGGACACCAGACTAATCAATGCTGGCAGGGTCCATTTGCTTTAGCCTGTTTTCTTTTTGTGTTCCATCCTATAATGGGACGCTGGGCCCGTTTCCCAGCAGGTGATGCTCCCCACCAATAGACGGAGCCTCTCCCCGGGTGCTAGTGGTGTCTGCTCTCACCAGCACCACTAGTATTGCAGAGGGTGTGTTTTCTTCAAAAAAGAAAAAAAAAGAAAAAGAAAAAAAGACGGAAGAAAGTCTTTGGTACTGTGCTAATCGACAATGTGTGCATCTTTGTGGCCACTGGTAACTCGACGAAAGCTACGGTGGAGTACTTTTTCCCCCCACATTTTCACGGTGCTCCCCTGACAACCTCAGGCTTAAGAGAACAGATGAGAGGTTGACTTTCGGGACATTTGGATTTTTTTAGAATCCAATGCGAACTGCGAATCAACCGCTATATACCAAATCAAATTGAAAGCATGCAGGTTACAAAAAATGAGCTGTCGCTCTCGAAGAGGGAGGAACTCACCTTCCACAAAGCCATTCATATGGCCCATACTAACTATCATGGGGTAAAAAATTGCAGAAAATTGCTGAAAATTTGCAGGAAAGCGGCAGCTGGCTACATCGTAGTGAATGCAATAGGACAGTTTATACATTTGAGATCCCTAAATAGGTTGCTTTTGTTGAAGAGGGAATTTATATTTATGGGAAAAGTTGTCAAAACCTCCCCGCAACAAAACCTTTATATTCGTTTTCCCCAAAACGGGCGAAAAATGTGTTGCAGGGCCCAAAATGACTTTTCCTGCCCCTTTTGCACCCCTGGCTCGGCCGGTAATGGGCGTTGTGAAAAAGTGGCAGCAGGACACTTAGGAATGTGTTTTACAGGGTGCAAAAACAATGGCAAAATACATTTCGGGGCGTGTGCCACTTTTCACCCCGGTTGGGGGAAAAAGAATACAAAGGTTTTGTCGTGGGGAGTTTCATGACGCTTCCCAAGATTTATAGATTTGCCCGCCGGGGAGTTTTTTCTTTGCGTACTGAAACGGTTTGCGCATGGTAGAGATGAGCAAAAGTTGGCAGCTGAACTTGTGTCCTCATAGCCACATTGGCAGGATCTCTTATTGCTCTGAATGATCTCGGATGCTGTTTTTTCGTCCACAGGGGTGTACTAGCTCTTCTTCTTCTTTTCGGTCTATTTGCTGCCTCTTTTTGCCTCTCTTGGCGTCTTCAGCCCAAGGTCGGACGGTTTGGTCTGATTTTGGCTCCGGCACAGGCTGTGTTGTTTTTCAACTGTAGATCAGCATCATCAGCACTTACGGTACTTGCTGCCGACCTTCAGTTTGGCGCTTCGGTAAAATTGGTTACGATTTCATCATTTCGGCACAGTGACAGTGCCTGTCGATAGGAGCAGCGGGTCTTGGTTACGATTTCATCATTTCGGCACAGTGCCTGCCGATAGGAGCAGCGGGTCAGGGAACCAGTACTCATGTAAGGCTGATGTTTTCTGATGGAACCTTGGTATTTGAATAGAAACGACTGAGCTGGAACTAGGTAACTGACGGGTACAAAACAAGTGATTGGAGCATAGTAACTCCTCTTCACGGTCGACCGCGGCGTAAGCTGATGTCGGACTGCGGTGGGTTGGCCGAGTGCATGGTGGATCCTGGACTTGAGGAATCGTTTGAAGGAAGGTCATCATTCACCTCTTTGTCTTAATCAGTGTCGTGTGCTCATGAATGCGGACCGATAACTGCTTGCATGACATATATGTCTCACTGAAGCCTCAACTGCCACTGCAAACTAGAGACGCAAGGGGCGGGAGCACCCATGGAGTCATATGGAGGAATCGCTGCAAATTATTAGATCATGCCGTTTCTGATCAACGTGAGCGTTAGACTCATCCTGTTTGACCAGACTGTTCATTTCTGGTTGACATAGACACCATCTGATTTTGATTGCGCTCCCCTATGAGAAGACTTTTCTCATGTTTCTAATTCCTAGGAAATGCACAGGTTTTTGAAGTTCATATCAGATATGTAGATGCAGTTTTTGGATAGTACATACTTTGTGACTTCAGATCCATCTGTGCACCCACGGAATCCAACCGGCACCCTCGCCCCAGGGGCCACGTCTCTTAAGAGTCTTAACCACTACTAATCCACAACAGTCAAACCCATCCCAGGGCATGGTGACCACCGTAATCCCGACCAAGGTGGGACAGCGATGTACCAGCCGATCGCCAATCCAAACACTGTCTACGCGACTCTACGGCAAACCCGACAAAGGCTTCTTTCCCTAAAGAGTTAATGCTGGTCGCAGAGACAAACAGCAATGACGGCATTGCACACCCATACCACGGCAATCCTGACAAAGGCTTCTTTCCCTAAAGAGTTAATGCTGGGCGCAGAGACGGGACAGCAATGACGGGTTTGCACACCCATACCAACATGATAGGGAAAAGTTTCTGGTTTTGGGTTCGTACTTCCTGACCTCGGATCCATCTGTGCAGGCGCTGAAGGGCACTGCAGGCACAGAATCGAACCTGCAGCATCCGCCACAGGAGCCGACTTGAAGTCCCATAACCACTACAACAGCGCAACCCAGAGTACGATGACAAGCTGACAACACTAATCCGGACAAAGGTTGGGGGCCGGTGTACCATCGAACGGACAATGATCCTTAGGCTAGTAACATGGACCACGGCAATCCCATCAAGGCTTGTTGCCCTGAGGAGGGTTAACGCAGGAGTCTAGTAGAGAGGCATAGTAGAGAGAACACAGGAGAGGCAACTGCAATGCAACCCAAGGCAGGGTGACCATGGCGATTCGCGCAAAGGTGGGGCAGTAGTGTGCGACACTGTAACCCGACAGACAACCCTAACATGGCCCACGGCCACCCACAGGATTCCCGACGAAGCCTTATTACCCTAAGGGTCGTTGCAGTCGTCAGAGACCCCCACGAAGGGGGGGCAGCACTGCCACAACAGTAGGCAGCCCAGAGCTGAGACTCTGAGCACCCCTCTTCTCTCAAACCCGGCCACGCAGCAAAGTGTATCACAACAGTTACTCCTCAATGTCCTCATCTGGCAAAAAGGTGAAAATGGGTCTCCCTGGAAGTCCTCTAGCAAAAGGGAATTTATTAACAAACTGGTCGCCCACTGGACACCTTATAACCTCCACAGTATATGCGATACTGGATCATAATCCCACTTGGATTGGCCATTTCGGACTGAAGTTACACTTGAACCTGCTGTCAGATACATCCATCTCATTATTCAGGAGTGACCCCTTCTCCTACTACTCGATACGATGAAAACGTCCTCCCTAGAAACCCAGTGGAGTCCGCATACTCAAAGTTTTCAACTCCTCTCTCTCTCTCTCTCTCTCTCTCTCTCTCTCTCTCTCTCTCTCTCTCTCTCTCTCTCCAAAAAAAACTGCTGGTCAGTCATCTTCATCGTCCTCATATTGTGCTTCTATCTCTTGTTCTTCGTAGCCTTCGTATCCCTCCTCTCCCTCCTCTTTTTCCTCTTCGTCGCCTTCTTCGTCTTCTACATCCCTGGGATTTTCTTCTTCTTCTTCATCGTAATTCCTGGGATTTTCAGAAGGGGGCATGTACTTGGCATAACCCTGCTTATCGTTGTAGTAGGTAGACCCATCCTTGTTCTGGTAGTAGTAGCTGTCATCCTTGTTGTCATACCGATAATTCCCGCCATTGTCATAGACTGATGGTCCCAGATGGGTCCATTTGTTTCCCTGGGAATTGGTTCCAGAGGCCTTCTGGCTGCTGTCTCCTTCCATTGAGCCACCCTGTGAACATACATCATATTAAAGTCATCAAGTCATCATCCACTCAGCCTATTGGTTTGAGTACAAGTTCTTTTTGTGTATTTTATTGTTCTAGTTAAAGGTAGCCCCTAACTTGCGTTCCTCCCACATTCCATCGGGATTCACTCACGTTCTTCTGTTTCCCCCCTCCCCCAAGGGCCCAAGGATTCCCGTGTTCTGTTTGCTACTATCTTATGAAATTGATGTATTTGGGGAATTTCGGACAAAATGCATCAGAAGATTCATTCCATTGAGAAAGGCGCACAGAGTAACCAAAAAATTGGAAAAAGAGAGCATCATGAGTTTCGTTGCCTTTTTTTTTTGCACCAGGTCCTTCAAAAAGAAGTGTGGGACAGAAGTGTTTTTTCACCTTTTTTTTTTTTTTTTACTTTTTTTTTTTTTTTTTTTAACATGACTAATTGCGCAAAACAGACTTTGCGTCGGTTCGTGCAATTATTTCACATAGCACAAAAACAGCTGCCAGGAAGATGAGCGATAGCCGCGTCAGATAGCGAACTTCAGAAATCAAACAGCATCATCATTACACATGAGACCAGATAGTCGTGACCCCGAACCAAAAGCAGAATTGCATCACGAGTTCGACCAAATAAGAACACAGCAATAGGCTAAGCTCATAATTGACAATCATGCTGGAATAGTCTCATCATCATCAACGAAGAACCAATGTCGATATCCTATCTGGCGCTCGGCGCCCAGACTACAGATGGCAGATCCTATCTAGCCTGTCTACAATGCCGCTGATGTCGTCAACAGCTCCCCGAAGTACGAGCAGATCTCGGTCAATGCCGTCGCCTCAAGCACCAGGTATGTCTCTCGTATCACTCACAACCTCCATCCCCAACACACAGATGCAACATGCACCCAAGGACCACCATGCACCCCATCCAGCGTACAGCAGCGCAGCTCGGCTATGGCTGCCTGCTCCTTCCAGCTCGCCCGTGAGCGCGTGATCGCTGGCCAGCGTTATCACAGCAGCGCTTGCGCAGCATGCAGCCAGTGCCCGAATGTCCAATCCGTGGCCAGGCCCTTTCCTAAATGGAAGTTGCCTGCCTGCCTTGCATGCAGCCTGGCTTCGCTGGGTCCCTGCCCAGAAGCTTCCGGTAGGCCCACGGAGGCTGAGCCTCAGTCCAAACGAATCCGGCGCAGGGCCACCGACAGTTACCTGTGCCCAACTGCCCACAGCCTGAGTTGGGTCCATGCTGCGTATCTCGCCCAGGGCCTGACTTAGATCCATGCTGCGTATCTCGCCCAGGGCCTGACTTATATACATTTGATAAAGGAGGCCAGGGCCTGGGCGCCTTTAACCAACTGGCGCTGCGCAACTGCCTGATATTTCCCCAGTTGCGAAGTACCCCAAAATAGGCCTCTTTTCGTCTGTCGCGCCTGCCTTCACTTCGGGCGGCCAACCTGTTGCAAATAGGGGCCCGGTAGGGCTTATTGAGGCCTTGTGCCCCGCACAGCAGGGGAAAAAAGGAAAAATAAAACACATTCCGGCAATTCTGCAGTAACCCGCACTCAGCAGAGGCCGGGCTGTGTGACCACGCACTGCCCGGCCCAGCCCAGCGTCTGGCCAGTGAGACCCAGCGCTGGACTGGGGAAATTCAAAGGTCAAACTCAACTGTCGGGTCGCAGGTACTGTACCCAAGTCCACGAACAGATACACACACGTGTTTGTATGCAGGTACCAGGCCAAGACATCGGACCAAGGGAGAATCGGTCGCAGACCAATCCAGGCCGTCACAACATCAAGATCTTGACGGCACAGGATTGCTGCACCGGGGGCATTGACCCCGAGTCAACGCTACTTAAGGTTGACTCCTGGCTTTGACATCATTCATTCTGTCGCGAGTCAAGGCTGACTCTACTTTGACGCGACGCTGGCTTGTGAGGTGCTGGCTACTTGCTGGCTGAGCGCTGGCGTTCCTCAGCGTCGATACGCTGCTTCCTTGCTGGCATGGTGGCTGGCTTGCTCTTGTCTACAAGGTGCTGACGTGGCAGCGCCACATGTCGTTGCTGATGTGGCTGCTGCCACGTAGTCTGATGTTGACGTGGCTGTGCCACGTGTTCATTCGCTGTTCAGACTATCGTCGTCCGGAAGGAGGTCAGGGACTGTGGGGATGAGATGACACGTACCTGTTTATTGAGGCGACATTGCTGCTCCGTTGATGAAGAGAATGCTGATGTGCCACGTGGCACTTTGAGGAACTCGGATCTGTATCTGGAATGACGCTGCTGGAGAGGGGGCGAATCTGTTTGGCCTAAAGAAGAAGTGGGCTTCTTCTTCTCCTTCTTCTTCTAAGTCTCTTCTTTTCCCTCTCTTTCTCTTGTCTATGTATGTATATACTCGGTTACGGAAACAGATCTGTTCGACATTATTCATCAACAAGATTGGATTACTCGAGTTGCTTTGTCATTGAGCCACGGGACTTGTACTGCACGAGCGCTGATGCTCGTGCGTTGCTGTGAACAGTATCTGCATGTCCAATATGTGTTATCTCGCCTGGGTTCATTACAGTTTGGTATCGGAGCAGTACTTCCAAAAATCGCGCACGCACGTGCACGCGCGCTGAAGTGGAATATCGCGTTGACGTTGGTGATCGCGTCGGTTGGATCTTGATGACGACTTGGTAGAAGATCACGAACGCGGTCGCGATCACGAACGTTATCAAGGGAAGACACGATCACGAACGTGATCAAGGGAAGACACGATCACGAACGTGACCTCGACGCTGGAGAAGATTGTCGTGACGAAGCATCACGATGAAGAAAATCATAACGACGACGAAGATCATCACGACGACGAAGAGCATACGACGACGAAGTTCCATCGGGCCGCGTTTGAACTGTGTCTATAGACCATCACGATACTAGACATTGACGCGCGTGCCCGATTAAGACCCGGACGCGCGCTGATGACGTGGCAGAAAAATCAAAGGTAAGTGGGAGAGAGAGAATGCTGAAACGCGATTTTAATCGCGCGTTTATAAACGCGTTTGTCTAGACAAGAAGCACTTTCCTCCCCTGAAGACTGCGCGCGCCGGTGAGAAGAGGATGATGACGAGCTTTGATTGAAGAAGAAGATCTTGCTGATATGGCGGTATTGTATCACATTGGCGAGATCTTGAGCAGACACCAAGATTGCTGACGTGGCAGGGGAATATAGATGTGTTGTCATTTCCCTGTTGACGCGGCTTGGTTGGAGTACTAACTGGAAGACCAGATTGGCTGACGTGGCACCCCCCTTATTGTTTGGTTATTTGAATGTTGACGTGGGAGGGGAATATCGACGTGTTATGTTTTCCCTGTTCACGGGGCTTGATTGAAGCTTTATCAGGGGGCCAGATTGGCTGACGTGGCACCCCTTCATTGATTGCTTTCTGGATGCTAACGTAGTGAGTGTAATAGGCTTGCTGTGTTGACATTACCGGGGTGTTACGTGATAGCCACGTATGTGCCTGGGTGAAAGATCATCCGCTGACAGAGGCGGTATAGCTGATTGAACAGCTGTAGTGCAAGTTGTCGCGTTGGGGTCATTGTGCTTTGACCAGGACTGGCGCAGGGGATTATTGCTGCTGAGATCTTGATTGATGTTAATGTTGGTTTGTTTCTCATGTGACGTTTGTTTGTCCTGTGCTGGCATACTCACCTGTGTTGTATCTGGTCACTCTGTTTGGTTTGGTACCTGCAAAACGACGTCATCACATTGAGTTAGAAATTAATAACAGCGAAGAAAAAGAAAAATAATTGAAACTAAATTCTATAGTTATTTTTGCTGTCATTATCTTGCTGTAATCTGTTGTTTGGAATCTGTGGGGCCGCGGAATTAATTATTGTTTATTTTTGTTTATTGTGCGGTAGATCCCCCACACCGAAATGTCTCAGGAAGGGACTGTTCAGACCCCAACTGAGGGCTAAAGTGTTGAGCAGCTCCCTGACCCTCGTACCAAGGATCAGGTAGAGCAGAGACGACAACTTTCGTCTGGCCGGCTCAACCTTTTGGCCACTGAACTGCACGATGCCGGTACAGAGGCTGAGTCACATGTGCGGGCCCAGTTTGATCTGCGGAAAGCCCAGGCAGACCTGGACGCAGCTCAAACTGACACCGACCTATTGAAGGTTCAAGAGTTCATTATCCAGTGCCGTAAAGCACTAGATGTGTTCATCTGTCAGCAGTTTGACGACATTGCGAATGGCAGAAATGCCAAAAATGATGTGGTGGTCACGAAACAGACGATTGATGAGAACATCCGCCAATTGGAAGAAGCTCTTGAAAAAGAGAAAACCCGTAAGGCAGAGATGATAAAGAAAAAAAAACAAGATGAACAGCAAGCAAAACAAGAACAAGAAGTCAGACAACATGTGGTAACTGTGGCAGGAGAAGAACAGGTTGTGGCACTGAACCAACTGGTTGAGTACCTTGCTCACTTGGAGACAAGGCTCGACCATTTTGAAGCAAAGTTGGAAGAATTGACCGTAGGATTGAAGAATGTGACTAACTTGGTCAAAGGAAAGGAAAAAGAGGTTCGGAAGGAACAACCTGAGAAGAAACTGATGAGTGATGCTATGAAAGATCTCAGGGTCAAAGTAAAGGAGGGAGAGTCATCTGGGCCTCCTTCACCGACGCCACCATTAAGTCCACCATCCAGTCCTCACCCATCAGGGGGAAAGAAAGACAAAGAAGAGAAAACTGAGAAGCCAAAGAAGAAGGAAAAGGTAAAGATGAGATTGCCTTTTACGTTTAGCAACAAGAAAGACGAACATTTGCTTGTTTGGATCGCCGAGATACAGACGCACTGTAGTACGACGCCTGTTGCAGAAGAGTCTCAGGCCACATTCTCTACATCTTGCTTGGGAGGAGAAGCAAAGCAGTGGGTCTTAGCTGAGGCTAACGCGACAGGTTTCGACGACATCGGTAAGTGGTCCGGAACAATGACTCTAAAGCAGTTCCTTGATAAGATCAAGGAACGCTTTCGTGATAAGACGACGACCGATAAGGCCTTCGACCAACTTACTACGATTGGACAGAAACACTGGACGTCTGTGGAGGCTTTGTCTGGCGAGGTCGATCGCTTGTTGCAAGTACCGGGCTTAAATCTGCAGGATGATCAGGTCCTGTATATTTATGCCCGGGCCTTACCTGAACCCATACGAAGTCAGTTAGTGGCCGACTCAAAGTCAGGTAAGTATAAGTACCAACAGTTTCGCGATCTGGCTTTCCAGAGAGAGCAAATGACTTCTCAAGTTAAACAGTCGTATGCATCTGTGGTGAAATCTGGTGGTAATGCAGGAGCAGGTGCAAGATATGGTAAGCGAGTCCTTTGGCGCCAAAAGCGTCAGGACCACATGCTTGTCGTCTTTGACGACGACACAGTGGAAAAGCTACCGTTAGAGGAAGAAGGAGTTCCTAGCAACAGTGAGTCAGGAAAGGGGGACGTCACTGCTGCCGTGGTCAACAAAGGAGGACCACGAGGTCCGTATCGAGGGAGGAAACCACGCTCGTTTCCTGCGCACCCAGGTATCGCGGCATTCAATCCGTGGGAGAAAATGGAGATTGACCAAAAGACCTGGTAGGATAGGATGGACAACGCGCAGTGTTTGAAGTGTGGAAAAGAGGGACACATCATTGCATGGTGTCCACTCATCCGACACCCAAAAGCGAGCCGCCAGTAGGAGTAGCATCTGCTCCTACTGAGTTGAAGAAGTTAGACGATGAGAAAGGTAAGGCGCCTACTAACCCTTTCACTTCTTCGACTCGCGTGGCAGAGGATGGTTGTTCTCCGGCCCATCATCCAGATCACCCTGAACCTGTCTTATGTTCTGTCTCTCTGGATGACTCCTTTGATAAGCTTGGTAATGATTTGCTGACACTACGAAGCTCATGGGCAAAGAAAGCAAAGTCTAAGGGTGAACTATTACTCGCGGATGTAGAGATCGCACACGAACGGACGGGTGCACTTTTAGACTCAGGATCTACACGATTCCACATTTCTGAGAGAGCTATTCGCAAGCTTCATCTTGGAATGAAGGTAAAATGTTTAGCACGACCTATCACGTCTATTCTTGCTGATAAAAGTACGATCACTGTCTCTCATTATGTCGATCGTGTGAAATGTAAGTTCAGAACTAAAACTGGAAAGAAGATTGTGCATGAAGTATCCTTCCTAATTGAGAAGAACTTGACTTTTGATATGATTCTGGAAATGGATTGGCACGAGGAAGCCAACCCAGAAATCAAGTTCAAGGAAAAAGAAATACGCCTGAAAAACGTACAATCCGAACTCGAGGCCATCAAACTGTATCATAAGTCTAGATTTGACTCTACTCTGTCTTTCTGTTGTATGAGATATCCAGCTTTTCGATCGACGGTCAGAAGAAGCACTTGGATCAGGAGGTAATGATGGTGTTGGTAAAGAAAGTTGGTGAGTCTTCGACACCTTATCCTCCATCGATACAAAAACTCTTAGACGAGTATAAAGATCTATCTCGGGAACCTACTGGATCACTGAGCGTACTATCAAGCACACTATCGAGATCATTCCTGGAAGTAAGACTCCCGAGGGCCTTATCTATCGAATGTCGTCTAGGGAACTTGAGGAATTGCGCAAGCAACTCCAGGAATTAACTGACAAAGGATGGATTCGCCCTAGTTCCTCACCTTATGGAGCGCCTATCTTATTTGTGCCCAAAAAGGAAGGTGAGTTGCGTCTATGCATTGATTATAGAGGGTTGAACTCCGTCACTGTGAAAAAAGTTGAACCCCTACCACGAATTGACGACTTGTTGGATCAGCTGCAGGGATGCAAGTACTTCAACAAGATTGATCTGAAGTCGGGATACCACCGAATCGAGGTGGCGCCCGAAGGTCAACACAAGATTGTTTTTCGAACCACGTATGGACACTACGAGTTTGTGGTCATTGCCCTTCAGATTGACGAATGCCCCTGCGACCTTCCAAAGGTCTATGAACGAATTGTTTCGACAGTGGTTGGATCAGTTTGTAATTGTGTATCTCGATGACATCCTCGTCTACAACAAAACGCTGGAGGATCACGAGAAACACTTGCGTCTCGTCTTGGGTAAGCTACGCGAAGGAAATTTCAAACTTAACCGAAAGAAGTCTGAGTTTGCAAAACGTGAAGTGCTCTACTTAGGGCATATAGTCAATGAAGAAGGACTCAGACTGGAAGCGAAGAAAATTTCAGCGATTAGAGATTGGCCACAACCAAAGTCCATCACTGAGTTGAGGTCCTTCCTTGGGTTAGCCATTTACTATAGGAAGTTTGTTAGGAATTTCTCCTTAGTTGCTGCCCCCATGAGAAGACTCCTGAAGAAAGGAACCATATGGTTGTGGGACAAGGACTGTGAGTCATCAATGAAGAAGTTAAAATATGCACTGACTCACTACCCTGTTCTGAAAATCGCTGACCCATCTCTTCCCTTTATTGTGACCACTGACGCAAGTCAGAATGGAATTGGCGCAGTTCTACAGCAGGACGATGGTAAGGGTTACAAACCTATTGAGTTCATGTCTGCCAGACTTCGTACTCAGAAGGTCGCCAACTCCACTTACGAAAGGGAATTGTATGCGCTTGTCTGTGCACTAAAATCCTGGAAACACTACTTGTTAGGGAGACACTTCACTGTCTACTCAGATCACTCGACACTGAAGTGGATAAAGACTCAACCAAAACTCTCTGACAAACTAGTACGATGGTCTGCTTTCCTCGACACCTTTGACTTTGAGTTGAAGACAATCAAAGGTAAGTCTAACGTTGTGGCTGATGCATTATCTAGGAGAAGTGATTCCTTTGGAACGATTGTCTCTTACTTGGATATTGGAAATGATGTGCAAGAACAGATTCGACAAGGTTACGTTAATGATCCTATCTGGAAACCCATCATTGACCTTGTCACTAAGGATCCTGCCCTGCTACCCAAGTATAAGATGACAAATGGATTGCTTTTCTTGATAGACGAAACTGAACAACAATTGTGTATTCCTCACAAAGAAGAGATTAAAAGTTTGCTGATTGGGGAATGCCATGACTTTGCAGGACATTTTGGTTTCAAGAAAACTTGTTCAGAAGTAAGAGAACGCTTCGATTGGAAAGGATTAAAGGAAAATGTACTAATGTACGTGCGTACTTGTCTGGTATGTCAGAGAAACAAACCACCACATGAGAACCCTCTGGGTCTACTAAGGCCCTTACCGATTCCCAGCGAACCAGGTGAGTCTATCGCCATAAACTTCATGAGTCTCGTCAAGAGTCGGTATGACAACAGTCAAGTGATGGTTGTAGTCGATCGTTTCTCTAAGTGTGCAACGTTTATTCCTTTGCCTGCTGAAGCGAAAACTGAGCTTGTGATCCAGAAGTTTCAGATGCGATGGGTAACTGAGTATGGATTCCCATTGTCTATTGTATCTGACAGGGATGTGAGGTTCACAAGTATGCCATGGCAAAAGCTGATGGAGGCATACGACACTCATTTGACAATGTCGTCAGGACGACATCCTGAAACGAATGGGCAAAGCGAGCAAATGAACCGCTTGTGCCAACAGCTCTTGCGCACGTATGCCAAGCGCGATCAAATTGATTGGGACGAGAACTTACCGAAAATAGCTAGTGCATACAACAGCAGCGTCCACACTGCAACCGGACGCACTCCTAACGCACTACACAAAGGGTGGAAGCCGCGATGTCCCATTGATGTATTGACCAGAGACCAATTTTTACGGCTACCGCTAGGGACTCGTGAATATGCAGTTCTGTTCCAAGAAGACATCCAGAAAGTTAAGGAGAACCTAAAGAAAGCACAAGAACAAATGATTAACCAGGCCAACAAACATCGAAGACCTGCTAACTTTCAAGTAGGTGACATGGTTTGGGTAAAGTCTAATGAGTTCTCCTTGGAAGAAGATGTTTCATAGAAATTGCTGCCTGTCTACTTTGGGCCCTGGGAAGTCCTCAAAGTAATTGGAGATGCAGACGGACCGCCCTACAGAATTGATATTCCCCCGCATATCAAAACCTACCGTGTATTCCATGCCTCTAAGTTGCTACCGTATGTGGAGGGAGATCAGTTTCCTAACAGGGCTTCTATGATTCCACCTTTGATGAACGGAAGTTATGAAGTAGATCGGATTGTAGACCATGGGTTCTTCTCCACCGGAAGGCGTGGACGACCGCAGAAGCAGTTCAAGGTAAGGTTTAAGACTCAAAAACCTTCCGAGGATCGGTGGTTCAGCAAACAACAGCTCCTTGAAACTGCTCCTGACATCGTCTCTGCATATGAGCGTGGGTTGAAAGGATAATTATTTCTGCGATGGAACTCGAAATTGGGTCGGCAGGAATGCAGTAACCCGCACTCACTAGAGGCCGGGCTGTGTGACCACGCACTGCCTGGCCCAGCCGAGCGTCTGGCCAGTGAGACCCAGCGCTGGACTGGGGAAATTCAAAGGTCAAAGTCAACTGTGGGGTCGCAGGTACCTTACCCAAGTCCACGAACAGATACACACATGTGTTCGTATGCACGTACCAGGCCAAGACATCGGACCAAGGGAGAATCGCTCGCAGACCGATCCAGGCAGTCGCAACATCAAGATCTTGACGGCACAGGATTGCTGCACCGGGGGCATTGACCCCGAGTCAACGCTACTTAAGGTTGACTCCTGGCTTTGACATCATTCATTCTGTCGCGAGTCAAGGCTGACTCTACTTTGACGCGACGCTGGCTTGTGAGGTGCTGGCTACTTGCTGGCTGAGCGCTGGCGTTCCTCAGCGTCGATACGCTGCTTCCTTGCTGGCATGGTGGCTGGCTTGCTCTTGTCTACAAGGTGCTGACGTGGCAGCGCCACATGTCGTTGCTGATGTGGCTGCTGCCACGTAGTCTGATGTTGACGTGGCTGTGCCACGTGTTCATTCGCTGTTCAGACTATCGTCGTCCGGAAGGAGGTCAGGGACTGTGGGGATGAGATGACACGTACCTGTTTATTGAGGCGACATTGCTGCTCCGTTGATGAAGAGAATGCTGATGTGCCACGTGGCACTTTGAGGAACTCGGATCTGTATCTGGAATGACGTTGCTGGAGAGGGGGCGAATCTGTTTGGTCTGAAGAAGAAGTGGGCTTCTTCTTCTTCTTCTTCTTCTAAGTCTCTTCTTTTCCCTCTCTCTCTCTTGTCTATGTATGTATATACTCGGTTACGAAAACAGATTTGTTCGACATTATTCATCAACAAGATTGGATTACTCGAGTTGCTTTGTCATTGAGCCACGGGACTTGTACTGCACGAGCGCTAATGCTCGTGCGTTGCTGTGAACAGTATCTGCATGTCCAATGTGTGTTATCTCGCCTGGGTTCATTACAATTCCCCCTCTGAGTCATTCCTTGATGATGGCGATGAATTGCTATTGTATCATTGCAATACCAACTGCTTCTGGAGCTGCGTGTGGATTATACATGCCTTTTAAAATTTTAATGACTTTAAAAACCCTTTTCCTTTCTTTCCTTTTTCCAGACTTCAGGGTACAAATTGAAACAATGAAATCCATTTTCTTCAAAGACAATAATATCAAACCACCCTCATTCCCCACTTGGTGTCCATCAAACTCCCGTTTGCCACCTTTTTTTTTTTTTCATGTTTCTTTTTAATAAAAAATAATAAAAAATCGTGGGGGAGTGGGATCTCCCCACACTGAGCTGCACACTGCGCACAGAGACACGAAGAGAGAGAGGAATCATCGCACTGCCATGTGGCAGCATGCTCTCTCTCTCTCTCTCTCTCTCTCTCTCTCTCTCTCTCTCTCTCTCTCTCTCTTCCATGCGCAGTGCCGCCAAGCCTGCCATGTCGCAGTGCGCTACTGTAACAGCTCTCTCTCTCACTCTCTGTACAGACCAAAAAGAGATGGATAGTCAACGGATACAGATATAGAGATAGTCAATGTATGTCAATGGATAGTCAATAGATAGTCAACAGATAGTGAAGAATCCGATAATCGACTGTCAGAAATGAAGAATTTAGGCCAGCGGAAGCTCACCCCTCTTTCAAACTGTAGATTACGAGGATAAGCAGCCAGAAACGAGGAACCTAGGCAAGGCAAGAGAACGACCTCCCCCCCAAATGGAAGTCCCCCTCTCTAAGATTCTCATGTCTTTTGGGATAGATAGATAGATAGATAGATAGATAGATAGATAGATAGATAGATAGATAGGTATATATCGTCCAACAGTATAGATACTGTGAAACAGAACTCCCAGGTAAACTGTAGACAGAGAGAGAGAAGAGGACAACAAGCCAGGGGCCATGTCGAACCCTTTCGTCAAAACAATGAGGAGGCTGAGCACCTCAAATTAACCCCAGAGCTCTAACGTGAATGTGTCTTTGAGCACCTCAAATAAACCCCAGAGCTCTAACGTGAATGTGTCTTTGCAAACCTCACATAAAACCTCGCAAAGGGGAATTCAATCTGATTATTTGAATGCCTTTGCGACTGAAGATTGAGAGGAGTAGTGTTAGGTAGGTAGTGTGAGGTGAAATTGAGAGAATGACATAGCTTAAAAAAAAAAAAGATTGAGAGGATCTCAAGCGCCATAAACGAAGATCGCTTCGAACTAGAATCTCAAGGGCCAGGTGAGTGAGAAGTAAAATCCGTGTGAGAACCTGAGATGAGGTCACACGAGTCGCACCATCACACGAGGACTTTCATGGATGTGCAATGAATTGCTGAATTCTACTACCAAGACTGACTGCGAGGCTGTACACTAACCGGTAGGGTTAGATTCGTGATTTTGTTTGGCTGAGGGCTAACCGAAAGACCTGCCTGTAAGGAAATTCGTGAGGGACATATCTGCAAATCTGGGAGAATATAGGCCCCAGCACTAACCCGAATTCCGACAGCTACCCTAACTGCCTATAGCAGGCCCGGGCTACCCCTAGGACAGACAGGCCCTAAGCGGCCTATGCTGCTAGATGGTCCTATAGCCTATGGCCAGGTCCAGTAGAGGCCGAGAGGCCGAAACAGCAACGGTAACGGTCGGTCAGTCAGCCCGGTCTAGGTCTAGGTAGTCTAAAGATAGGTTAGGCCCATCGGTTCAGGACTTTTTGCAGTTCATTTCTCGCGAAGCAGCGTTGGAGAAGCCAAGCAAGTTGGTGGCGGTGTTCGTCTACAGGCGGCATCCTTAGACCTCGCCGTTGACAGCAGTCATAGCCGGCCCAGTCTGAGTCTGCCATAGTTGGGGCATCCTCAACACATCTACCCCTGGGGGTATCTGCGTATGGCCGGGCTAGATCGAGGCTCTAGAGTGTGTGTTCGTGGGTGGTGGCAGCCATAGCTGCCTGCTCCTT